GTAGAGGTAGTAAAGGTATTAGCAGTATTCAGAGACATTAGGATTAGAAGACATTATTCAAGAAGTATAATTTAGTGAGATAAGTTTAGAAAGACAAAACTAGAAGTGTTTAAGAATCCAGAAGATTAGGATTTGAGAGAACACAAAGAATAAATGCACCGGCGCCATTGCAAACGATTTTGAGCCATGTCATTCAGGGTCTCCAACCATCGATTATTATCATTTCGCGGACCTCAATCAGGTAGTCGACAACTACCAACATGACTCAGTCCACTTGTCAGTAACTTCATGGATTTCTGTGATGTTTTGGTCTGGTCGCCCCTAACTTTCTTCCAACCTATTCCTACACTACAAAACAACGCTCGTCGAGGCAGTCGGTTGTTAGGCATACAAAGCACGTGTCCCAACCACCTCAACTGATGAAGTTTCATTGCTTCATCTATTGATTTGCCATCCTTACCTAGCACCCGTTTCCTAATGACAGCATTGCTTACTCGGTTGTCCCACGATACACGAGCAATCCTTCGGCGACACCTATGATAAAAAACCAGTAACCTACAAATTTCGTCTACTCAATATTGCAAGGAAATCAACTGCATACTTCATGAATAAGAATTATTTTGGGAACTCCGAGTTACGTGATATCTATTGTTGTTTTTTTAGTGAAATGACATTATTTTGACCCAGGAAAATTTCAGCAGTGAAGCTTTCATTGTCAATCTAAACAAAGTGTTGTTTTATGCCTAACCGTTGACCAATAAGAAGTGAAAAATACAAAACACCAATCACACTTACTTCTCAACATTAGAAAACTTAAATCGATTCTCAATTCACAATACTCCATAACTCTATTGTTTATTTCGTTTTAGTCTACCTCTTAATTTTTAGAAATCCTTAGAGACTCACTACACAGTTCGGTTGTATTCTAATCAGACAAGAATTTTTATTACCGAAACATACCAGACCAAATCAAACCATTGAATGAATGTGGAAACACGTCTGTACATGAATAAGCTAAAAATTGGTTGTGAATAGAAGGAAATCTATGAATGATGAACATGCAGAAGTCGTACAACTTACTTACTTACTTTCGCCTGTTACCCCCAATCGAGCATAGGCCGCCGACCAGTATTCTACAACCTACTCTGTCATGCGGCTTCTTTTCTAGTTCTGTTCAACTGTTGTTCATTCTCTTCATGTCTGTTTCTTATTCTTTGGCGTAAAGTGTTGCTTGGCCTGCCTCTTTTCCTTTGACCTTGAGGGCTTTAATTGAAGGCTTGTCTTGTGACGCAGTTAGGTGCTTTTCACAGTGTTTGTCCTATCCACTTCCACTGCATCTTCCTTATTTCCAACTCCACTGGAATCTGGTTTGTTCTCTCCCACAGTAGGTTGTTGCTGATGGTGTCTGGCCAACGAATACGAAGTATTTTGCTTAGACAACTGTTAATAAATACTTGTATCTTCTGGATGATGGCTTTGGTAGTTCTCCAAGTTTCTACTCCATACAGTAGAACTGTCTTGACATTTGTATTGAAAATCCTGATTTTGGTTTTGTTTGAAAGTTGTTTTTAGTTCCAGATATTTTTCAACTGTAGAAATGCAGTCCTTGCTTTACCAATCATCGCCCTCACATCTGCGTCAGATCCACCTTGGTTGCTGTCCAGATATGTAAAGCTTTTTACGTCCTTCAAGGCATTTCCATCCATAGTGATTTGATTAGCGCATGTTGTGTTGTATCGGAGAATCTTGCTTTTCCTTTTATGTATGTTGAGACCTACTGCTGCTATGGGCTGCTGCTACACTGGTCGTCTTCTATTGCATTTGTTGTTGCGTGTGAGATAGAAGAGCCAGGTCATCTGAGAAGTCCTGGAAGTCGTTAATCCTCTAGTCGTCCAATATAGAATAAAGTTACTTGACTAAACTGAAAATTAACAAATTCACTGTAGTATGGTGATATACTAACATCTGCTTGGATAGGACACATATTGAGGAAAGCACCCAGCTGCATCACAAGACAAGCCTTCAATTAAAACCCTCAAGGTCAAAGGAAATGAGGCAGGCCAAACAACACTTTACGCCAAAGAATAAGAAACAGACATGAAGAGAATCAATAACAGTTGACCAGAACTAGAAAGGAAGCCACATTACAGAGCAGGTTGGAGAATACTGGTCGGCAGCCTATGCCTTATTGGGGGTAACAGACGTAAGCAAGTAAGTAAGTAAATGGTACTAGTAGGTACCCAAAATTAAGGTTGTAAAGAGATAAAAGCATAAATTGAGTACAATTTAAGAAAACTCAATAGAAATAAGTGCATGATAGTGAAATAATAGTGAGAGAATCAGTTCAGTTCGGGAAAATACAATCAAGAAGAATTCGTTCAGTTTAAGTAGTTCACTTCACTTATATGAAGAAAATAAAAGTACATTACAGCCGGACTTCCAATGGCCTCTATTCGGATTCATGTCTGATAACTTATCAATCAAGTGAGTTGCATCTATACTAGGGAATCGTGAAAGACCAACAGATGCCATTCCTGTACAGCTTTGTTTCAAACTGTGATATTATGTGAAACACTGATCACCTTCTAAGCCTTTTCCATTCAGCTCTAGCATTGGCAAATAATGTCTGTAATTTTTAAATTTTTTTTGATTAAAACTATTCCAATTTAGAAGTATAATAGACTTTGTAAATTGAACATTGAACTGTGATCAATTGTCAATATTTTCTAGTCCTGACTTGTACTAATCGAATTTTTATTGCTCAAACTGGGATGTAGATGCTTGTCTAAGTGACCTGAATTATTTTTAGACATTAGGCAGTTGTAGATAGTCCGTGGAAAACCACAAACCCATTACTCGGATATGCTCAGGATGATTGATTTCCTTGACCAATAGCTCAGTGGTGAAGTTTTAGTCTGTAGAACTGGAAAAAGTGCATCCCAGCACTACAAACAGTATTAATTCTAATTGATAGTTCAGGTACACCTAACAGAATGATTGTCGGCTCGTACAAAACCTAGGTCTAAGGTTTCTTACAGAATACATCAAAGCACCTAAGATTTGGTAACTAACGCGTTTCTGGTGGTGGTGTTTGGTTCTCTGAGCTGGGTGTTTTGGTTGTGGAGCTTTCATTGTTCTTCGACTGAACAACATCATCAGCACAAACTTCAGATAGAAGTGAAGCATTCGAATTTCACCACGTTTGACCTGTAGCTTGTTCCGCTAACCTCGATCTTGATTGGTTGCTGTTGACCTTAAACCTATCGTTGTCTGCACCTTTGTTTTGCTTGCATCCCCCTTTTGAACTGTTTCTTGATCCTATGTCACCTATGATTTTCCACAACCAAAACACCCAGCTCAGAGAACCAAACACCACCACCACAATCATCCACCTGAGCTACAAATCTTCTCCACTGACGCGTTTACTTTCTAAGGGATTAATATCATGGTTAATATCAAACTGAAATTTATGACCTATAAAATTATCCATTTTGAGGTTTAGTTAATTCATGCTGAATAATTCCGTTGTAGTCAGTGTACTTTCATGTCAAGCCCCACAGGGTTTGTGTCTCAAGCCTTCAGACAAACTAAATAATCCATTCTACTTGAGTTACTATTCACTCGTCTTTTGATCTTATCAACTATCCGCTTTTATCTTGGTTGTTTCTATTCGAGTAGATGTGTGCATTGCCTGCTTCGCTTATTACAGTTCCTGCTTATTTTTATCTGACTATAAATAGTGATTCATGTTTTATCCCGCAGAGTTGCCTCTCCGGTCTTATGCTGTTCGCTTCGTTTTACTTTCAAGCTGATGTATTATCCTGTCTGTGTGCAGACACAATCGCCTGAAATAAACTCATCCAATCAGCGTTGCACAAACGGGGTTCGTTTAAGTTGGATATATGGAAATCGAAGGAGAGATCTATTCCCACAGCATACTCGAATGTTCGTCAGTAAAGTACTCAGCTCATGAGCCATCAAACACAGTATACTAAATTCTCTCTATTAAGAAAAAATCTGTTAAGAAATTCACTTATATTTACTCATCAGTCATTTGACATAGTACTCTAATGAATGAGTCAATTTGTTTGACAAATTGTAAAATTATCTCACATATTATACAACATCTTATTGTATAGGCACATTGAATCTATGAGCTACATGAAGCCCCTAAACCCTTATACCACTTAGCTGGAACGCACTAATGTTAGATCACCATTAGAAACCTGTAAGCACTGGACGGTCGTTTCATCCTAGTATGAGGCTCATCAGTGGCAGTGCCCATCCACACCCTCCCCCTGGAGGGTGTTCGGTCTCGAGCGCGGACGCTTAACCTATAGACCACTGAGCAGGCATCCAACAGTGTTTCGATCAATCTTAAATTTTGTGCAAGCTCATCCTTTGTCTTCGATACGAAACTGCCTCACACGAACAGTACTGAACTCCATTGGTCACGACTTCCTACGAGAACTCTGAGAATTTACTCAGGAGGCTGGTCACTAGTGAGTGTATTGTATGGTATTCAAGACATTGATTTACATTGACAATTGTAGTCCACTGGTGATATTTTCCAGTCAGTCATCAATTTTTTTTGTAATACTGATCTAACACTTAACTGTAACGTTGAGAAATCACAATTGTGTTGATGTTTTCCTAATTCCCAATAATTAATTAATCTCATGAAAATTATTTCTTCATGAAAATTATATTTTAAATTCAAAAATCTACACAACCTTCAATTTTTATTTGTTTGTTAATATTAACAAATGAACATTGAATATTTAACGTTGCTGATCATACTGATTACATTGACATTTGACATATTCATCTTTTTGGGGATAAAAAATAATTAATCTACAAAATGTACAAAGTTTTAACGGTTTCGTTTTTAATGAAATAAAAAGTTATCAATCATATTGAACAAATTGAAATAAGCATCATCATCATCAAAAATCTGGAGAAATTTCTGGAGAAAAAAGGAGAAAATTCAAAATTCAATTTTATTCACATAAACTATAATCTAATGGAGGTGATGCATTGCTTGAATTGGATAATGACGGATTTATTGTTACATTAGTTGAATGTAATTCCAGTGGAATGTCTATTTCATTATTATGTAACTCATCAACGACAACTTCAGTTTTCTTATCATCATTGCTACCATGCCGTGAATGTTGTTGATCTGACCTGATCGTCATCATTGTGCAGAATGTGGCATCATCATTATCAACATCACTGTCAACATCATTGTCAACACCAACATCAACGTCCACGTCAACATCACTGTGATTCAGATGATGATGCTGATGTTGATGAGGATGATCGATCAAATTGACCACATTGAAACTGACATTCGTTGTTGGTTGACTGGTTGCTGCTGGTGAATGTGATCTAGTTCTGACAGGATCAAATGACGGATGGGATGAATTCGTATAGTGAACATTGTCATCAGAATGATGATCAATGACAGTAGTACTACTGGGAATTTGATTCGTAGTAGTGGAAGTATGAGTAGTATGATTACTGGTAGTGGTATTTGTAGTTGATTGTGTAGTTGAAAATAGATGTTTGTCAGATGTGGACAGTTCATGCTGAAGGTGAGATTGAATGTACGATTGATGATTGTTGAGTAAATGCATCAAGTTGATGTAGAAGAGCTCCATCAATGTGTCATTGTTGCAATTCGATTTCAATGGTGGATTTGTGAGGTCGAGTGATTGGATAGATTGTGTGGAGGTAGTGGAAGTGTCCAATCGACTTGCTGACGATGCATTGATCAATGTGTGATGATGAGGTAGGAAATGTGAATTGTGTGTGGATGTGAAATGTGATGGATTGAAGAGGAGAGGAGTAGTGATGTTTGTTGGATTGTTTGTGGAGTGATTGTGTTTGGTCGGAGAATCGGTCAATCGATCGAATGTCGATATGTGTGAATTAGTGAGTGGATGTGTGTTGAGTGTTGGAGAGGAATTGTTTGTGAGTGTTGACCTCATCGATTGATATGTGGATATGTGTGGATGTAGACAATCGAATAGTTGTGGGGGTAGTGAGGGGGAATTCGGTGACCGAGTGTCTTGATCATCGACACCAACATCACCATCACGATCCTCATCATCATCTTCATCGTCATCATCATCGTCATCGTCTTGCTTATGCAGTTTGTCATCAGGTCGACTGAGACCGAGTGCACGACGTACTTTGCGTTGTGCTCTGCGTCTTCTGAAATCACCACTGAGAAAATCTTTCAAGTTGGCTGGATGTATTCCCCAATAATGTCCTTTACCATTTGCAGCTCTACCTGTCAAATAATGTGAATGTACAATGTGAATTACTATCCAATTACATTTCTTTTTCTATGAGATACAAATTACATGAAACAAGCACAAATAGGTTCTATGAAATCAAATTCATGATAATCGATTTTGTGATACTTGCAAATATAAGTTTTGTAAGTCACAAAATAATCTTCCACGTAATCTTTTTGGATGACTGGAGTGTGTTTCCTGGTTAACGATCATATGATTGGAGTACATCCTACTACATACAGCACTACTGATGATAGTTAGTGTTGATGACCACGTATGTCACTTTCTGCATTCCATACAAATCACACTATCATCTATCTACATTGGACTGTATTTTATTGTGATTAAAGGGAATGAGTGAGTGAATGAATGAGCAACACTGATGTGCAGCTGATTGGTTGATAATGTTGGTGGAGTTTCGGTTTATGACGTTGATGTTTTGGTTGTGGAACTTTCATTATTCTTCTGTACAACATCATCTTCGCAAAGTTCAAGCAGAAGTGAAGTATTGGGATTTCGCCGCAATCAACTGGTAACTTGTACTGCTGACCTTAATCTAGTTTCTCTTTTATTGACCATTAGGTTGTCATGTCACCTCCACAACCTAAACATCTGACATACAGACGAAACTCCGCCATCGTCATCTACCCGCGCTGCAAGTTTCCTCCACTTTCACAAAAAACATAGCAGGTTTAACATAATTCAAACAGTCATCAAGAAAGAGTTGAGAATAACATAGATCCACGAGAGCTGTTCGGCAGTTATCAGCATTCATGACTGGTACGAGGGAGATATTCCCACAGAATCATCACTCACTCAACGTCTTTAATATCATCATCACTCCTTACTCTTTTTTAATCTCAGTGAACAAAACATTGTATTCTCATCATGGAATGAATGAGAGTGAGCTACAGGCTTTTATTTTCCACTGTAACAGTAACAAATATATGTGCACATAAAAAAATTCATCACATTTTCAACAAAACTTACCAACTTTAATAAAACAATCATTCAATGATAAATTGTGTCTAATGGAATTTCTCCATCCTGGACCACGTGAACTGAAATATGGATAACGTAGTTGAATCCATTGATAAATTTCTGACAATATCATACGTCTTTCTTGTGTACTGAGGATGGCTTTAGCAATTAAACCTACAAAAAAATAAGAGAGTAAAGTGTTATGGGGAATATGAACACAAGTGGCATTGTATGGAAATGACAAGTCAACTCAGTTAGTTAGTTAGTTATTTGTACAAAACAGCAATCACTATCTCACTGCTTGGTGTACACGAAGCTGTGGAGTTCGTTTCCTCATCTAGATGACTGTCTGTTCGAATATATCACGTATGTCAGCAAAGACTAACAAACGAACCATAGTGGAAGTGATGCTGTATTGGGAACACAGTGGAGTTAGATGTTGTGTTGTGGTGAATCAATTCTGTGAATGGAGTCAATTCAACTGAATTCAAATTCTACACCTGCGAATGAAGTGTACGAGTCAGGAGCTGAATGTCCTCGTTTTTCACACTATTCACTCACTACTTAGTAGTCGATAAATGTGAGGATGAATTCAAGAGACGATTGGTCTGTGACGTGATCTAACAAACAGATGGAAATCCGAATACTTGATCAGTTATTGCAGATGTTTGAAGTATTTTGATGTTCTGAACATCAAGGTGCCGACTAGAAATAGGAAGATTGTGTTGTCTAGTTCGATCTATTTTCATAATGCACGAATTTCGCATTTTCCACTGAACAAATATGCCTACAATATTGGCTACTCACCAATGAATTGACTATGATGTTCCCTAAATCAGATTGTGTGCCATTTCTATCTTTAATCGCACCAATTCATACTGAGTAAGAATAGTTCAAATGAATACTGAGAATGAGTAGAAGTTGTGGATGAGTGTCGATGATGTATGTAAGAGGGTTTGGTATCTACAAGTGGTTTCTGCTCACAGTATTCAGTCGTTATTGTGTGTTAGGTCGACAGAATAAGGAGTAAATTGTACATGAGAATGCAATCGATCGATCTTTACTGATACACATCATTATAACAATGAAAACACACATTCATCCTGACAATTTAACATCAATCCACATTCTACTGACCATCATCATTTGTGATTATTTTTTTGTAATAGTTTCTTGTGCAACTAATAATCATAATAATAATGATACTGTTGATTTCATCAGTCGTCTTATTGATATTGTACAATGAAATTTAAAAAAAATTCATTGTACTCCTCATCAATCGCAGTAATTATTGATGCTTGCTTGTTCAAGCCATTTTGTTATTACGACATATTACGTAAGTGTCTGCTGTCACATTGCATACAGTGAACTTATAAACAAACGAACAATTATTACAAACAATTCATTGACAATATGGTATTGACAACGAGATAGAAAGAGAGTATGTGTGTTTGTGATGGCCATCCTCATCATTCACAGATGTATCAGTCACACACACACACACACTGTTTAGCTGACAAACACATTCTAACACTTGATTTGCATAACTGATCAACTGTTCGCAGTAAGAGTCATCATGAACGATGAATAAGTGTGGATGATAGGCGAATCAAAACACTTTCGAAATTAATTGACAGTTAACCGACCTCTTTTGATTACCATCCCTCCTAATTTACACATGTAAACACACACACACACACTCTATTCAATGTACAATGTTTCGAAACTTCATCATCACAGATATCAATAACCATTGTTATTTTTATTATTATTACTATTATTAATATTAATATGAAAATTCCTGAATTCTTCTTACGTTTGACCATTAATTAACATTCAAATAGATATACACTAACACACACACACACACTGATATACTTGACATGAAACTTGAAGCAAGTTAGATTTCAGTCAATTATGATTACATCATCGATGGTCATTAATAATAATAATCACAATTATAATGTCAGTAATTATTGTTATTACTATTTTTATTGTTTTTAATGATAAGTTGAAATTAGAAGATGAACACACCATCAGGAGCAAATTTCGAAATAAGACAGAAATGGATTGATACATCATAGTACAATAAAACGGAAGAAATATGAAACGAATTTCATTTTCATTCATCTCAATATCAATTAATTTTGTGAAGTGGCGTTGTACAAGTGGACTTGATCAAGTTTATGATAAGAGAATACTTTACAAATTGAATAGCCTGGTTTGTGATGTCGTACTGAATCATCCATACACAATATCAGTTGTTTTCATCTCTCTTAGACTTTGATAATACCAGATGTACACTCCTATTTCACTCTATCTCATCACCAGTTGAAGGCCGAAATGAGAACAGTTATATTTGAGTAGATTGACACAGAATGAAGTCAAAGAAAGGAATATGACATGACGATTTACATTCTCGGTCGTGTGTGATGATTCACACGTGTAATCAGCTCGATATATGTATCTAAATTTACACAGTTCCTCACCAACATTATACATTTTGGGTAGCGTGAACAAAGAAATTGATGAAGGGAAATGGTGTGTGGAGTGAGAATAAGATATGGCACTTATGCTGCGATTCCTATTCAAAGTTCATCACAGCAGAATGAGGAAAGGGTAGATGATTGTTACAGAATTATCAACCGATTGAGTCACCACTGGTTACAATGTCTGTCTGCTTGTTTGTTTGCGTGTTTGATTGTTAGAAATTCGTCTTCATCAACATCATCATCGTAGTGAAGAAGAGTTGGTTGTGTGTGTGTGTCTGTGTGTGATAGAGAGATGTATATGATCTGTTGACTAATGAAGATAGACGTTTTTGTAGTAGAATAATCCCATCCATTTGACTTGATTAGTGTCATTGTTCTTCAGAATTACTGTCAAGCTGAAATGCATGCAGATTCATTGACTTGTGTGTGTATGCATAATAGTGACAGTTTTCGAGGCACCAATGATTGTCATGACGTTTTGGATATTTCACTGTGTACTTCTGCATTATCTACGCATCATTTCCTTTCCATTTCTGATGTATGTGTGTGTGCACCTGTCTGATGAGGACTGATCAAAATGAAACGACATTAAAACATTACATTTGATGTTGAGTAAACAGATACTTTCATGTAATTGTGCAATATGAAACGAGTTACATAAGTAACTGTAAAGTCAGTCAGTCAGTGACGATGATGAAGATGATCTGTCTGTATTTTATCGGTATGTGTATTTTGAGTCGATGAGAGTTGGACTTAATTTTCAGAGACTTTTTATGAGTAGATGCAGGGTTGATGTGAATGAGCGACGATTGGATGAATCAAGGTGACAGTGAGGCTGAGTTTCAGTTAATGTCAGTTTTGACATCCTGTAAAAGTGCTTTAACTGGTTTCTGTACAAGAATGTATTGTGCCACTAACAACTACATTACGCAATAAATCATGATAGAACTGTCTCCTCCTCCTCATCTCTCTCTCTGCCTCTCTCGGTTATTCGACATCTTTGATTGTTATTCTAATCAGTAATCTTTTATGTGTACAGTTTTTGTCGTCTGATTGTTGCATGATGATGATGATGATGTCATTGCTAATCCTCAACTCACTCCATCTTCATTTTATTGTTCGAGAGAATTGATACTGTCTGTTAAATCTCTATATTCATTGATCACTTCAACATCAACAGTGGTCAATGAAACACGTTAAACTATCTTAACCAAATTTCATGATAAACTGTGTGTTTGAGGCGCATATCTGTATGGGAATGCATACATCAGTTGTGTGTTGTCAGTTCACTGATTGAAACAATGTTTAGAATTCAGTGTCTTCTAACCATCGCAACACAATGTTACTGTGGATAGATAGTTTATGTTCAGACCTTCACCATATCAAAGTATTACTGGTCAAGTTAGATTTTGACAGCGTGTTCTGCAGATGGACACAATTTCCTCACTTGTTAGTATTCCTACCTTCTTCTCTCAATTTCTATCAACACTCCAAAGAATATTCAGTTTCCAAATTAAATCGACCCATTTATCAAGATCATTGAATAAATATTTCGTTTCAGTGAAAAAAATATCAACTTGTCATCCAATCTTCTCACAACTCACACACAATCAGCATTTCTCTGTTTGTGTGTAGGTGTTGGACATGAGGCGATTGAATATAAAGCGAATCAAATTATAGGTGTATAACTGAATGTAAATTGACATGGGAAAAATTCAAATCCAACACAGATTCATTCTTGAACCGTTTCGCTACTTAACCTATTATTATAATTAGGAATCGGTGAGTTGGGTGGGCAACATAGATAACAGTCTAAATTTGATTGCAGAATTGAAATTATGATTGTCAACACTGTGAGAATATGTAATTATACTCTATTCTCAGTTTATTTGCCTTTGTGTTGTTTTTGCTCGCTGGTTGTGAATGTGTGTGTGTTGGTGTTTGGTATGTTTCACTGTGATGATTAGACTGACGCAATGAATATGATTGTAATGTTATGTCTATGTGGCACGATATTCAGTTGTTGTCATAGATACAATTTGTTATATGATAACTGAATAATGTTAGATAACTTGAAATGATCACTTATCATAATAATTGACTTGAATTGATATGTTCATCATTGTTGGAAGAATGCTGATCGATGATAAAGTGAATAGGTGAAACCAATGTTGATAACTTGGATGAATTTATTCATGGTTAATTGTGTTCGAAATGGATTTTGTTGAAATGAATGAAGTTGGAGTTGTGTTTGATAAGTGTGCTATCATTGTGAGTTGAAAATACTCTGTGATGTCATCATTTTGGAAGTGGTTGATTTCAACCTGTCTGCTGATAGTACTTTGTTGAGTACATCATTATAGGAATTGATTTCATGGATCCGTCGTTCGTCTGAGTATGCTGTGATCTCAGATGATGATCTCAATAAGTTGATGATTCACAGAAGCTGAACTGATAAATGCTGGTTATATCGAACTCCATCTTGTTTGTGGATGTTGTTGTGGGATTTAAATCTACCAAGTTTATTGTCCTATGAAATGATCGGGCAGTTGACACAAAATCCGACTTAGTCAAATTGTAAAATATAACAGACATATTTGTGGAATTATGTTCACATTAACTTTATTGGTACGTTGAAGTGTCTTCACATTTATCACCCTGTTTTAGTTCGAAAATGAAGAGAATGTTGGTGGAAAGTATGTTTTTTAAATTATAGCTTTTCGACTTTGACTGTTATGTTTTGTGAGACATTGAGTAAGCGAGTGAATAAGTGCTGTTCTGAAACATGTGAATGACTAACCAGATCCCATCACAGCTCACTGAGCGAATTCATTATTGTGTCTATAAAGAAAAAGAGTTTTATTTAAGGGTTAATAATCTACCGTTTTCCTTAACGAGTTAGTTTTCTATAGGATGATGTAACTAACCCCATGCTACTACAAGTTTTCAGCAATAGTTCATTCGAAGTCTAATTTTCCGAGTTTTGCATCAATCTGTCTCAGTTTGACTGATTGGAAATGAGTTAACTTACTAGTTACATCATGTGATGTATTCAAGATTTTTTCCAATAAGATTCCTAGTAGATACCATGAATTATCTTGGGATCCAGTGTTTAGTATGTCAACTTCGTTTTATTCACCACACTGTCTGACCATCTTCCATTGACATACTGAGTAATACTTGTTTTATTGAATAACTCCATCAAACAGTGTCGCTCTGGGGAACCTCTGGAATGCAACCGATGAGTCAATGATGTAAAACTTTGCATTCTGCAACAATACCACAATGCAGTACTCTGTGCAATCGATGTGTTTATTGATATTCATTAGTATTAACAGGTTGGAGTGGGAATAAATTGCACTAAATCGCTAAGTACTCCTAACACTGCACTAATTTGTACTCGTTCATGTTAGCAGTTACATTGAGTTTCCATGTACAAATACATGGATTTGCATTGACGACTAGCTAATCAACTGGTCAATTCATATAAAAGCTTCTCATTAATTCTCAACATCCTCTGATTCTGATATTTGTATTCACTGAACATTCTGTGTTCCCTAATTTACAAAATTCATTACCACCAACCCTAACTCACCCAAATAAACCCACACACACACACACAGACATAAACTGAATTATGAATATTATTGATATGGAGGTGAGAGTTTTCAATCACAATTTGGTCATTCTAAATGAGCAGACTTCTCAGCACTTTCACAAATGTACACAAAATTGATGATTGTGGCTTCTTGAGTTGTGAAATTGCCACAATGTGAATTTGATCAATGATCTGTGGATCGGTTTACTTGTTTATTTTTGTTTCGTTGTGTACATATGTGATCGTTTTCTTGTTAGATAAAACTTCTCACAACTCATTGATAATTACCAACTCAGCGTGAGTCAACACATTTGAAGTACCCATTTGGTGGAAGATTGTTCTTGTCAGGCTTTCAATATTAAACCACCACTACTATTACCACTACTACTACTCATTACAATCGTGTAAATTGATATTGTCATCGAGTGAAGTAGACTATTCACCTAATTGGATTGTTGATTTGTTTATGTGAGAGAAGTGGGTCGCGTCGTTTAATGATATTTTTCAACAAACAAACAAACTAACTAACTAACTCACTACCGAACTAACTAGCTAGTTCGAAGAGCATGAAAGTGTGAATCCAACTTACCAATGTGTATGAAGCTGGTGAGTATCATACCATCACATATCCTCACAAACAGATAGACCTACATCCTCGTTTGTTTCCTGAGATCTACTGTTGTCTCAGCTCACACCCACACACACCGCACACCCACACATACTGGTATGTAGATCG